GGGATCGCAGGCTCCGGCCCTCTGCCATTCCCCTGGCTTGCCAGAGGGCCCAGGGCATCGTCTTTTACAGTCTTTCCCACGCCCTCTGGGTTCGGGTTGGGATCAGGTGGCTGCTCTTCCAGTTTGGGCCCAAGCTTTTCCTCCACCTTGCCATCAGCGTCCAGCCGCTGGGCACTGCTGCCACCAGCGCTGACTGCCGTGAGCTCCACCTGCAACAAGAAGGGAGACGTCCTTAGGGCTGTGCAAGTGGGTCCTAGTGAAGCAGGCAGGACCTTCTCTCTAACCCCCCCACCCCAGACACTAAGGCAGAAGTGGCAAACTGCTCTAGAGCGTTTCCCTTGCTGCACCCCTCTCAAGGAAGAGGCCATGGGACCTGTTGGGGTAGATGCTCTTCCTTGGCCTATTCCATCAGGGAGAGGCTTTCTTGGCCCCAGCCATGCATACAAGGAGCTCACCTCGGAAAGGCTGCTGCTGACGCAAAACTCCTGAGACCCCAAGTGCTGGGAGCTGCTCGTTTTAGACTCCTCATCAGAAAGGGGGGCTGTCCTGGCCGAGGAACAAGACAGAGGATTACAAAATACCCTCCCAGCATCCCAGCACAGGACAGCAGCGGAGCTGGCAGCCTAAGGAAGTGTGGCTGCTCCAGGTAGCTCCTCCTCGCCACACGTGACATGGAAAAAAAAAGTGGGAAGCACCGCTGTGTCCTCCCGCTCCCGGAGCTCTGCCCGCTGGATCACACCTCCTCACACGCAACAGCTCACCCGCGGCTCCTGCGGGCTGGACAAGACTTTCTCCATGGCCCATGTGCATCTTCCTCACCCACAGCATTTTGCCCCTCTGGCCCTCCTCACAGCCCGGCCCCACACACCCTCCACTTCCCGTTCTGCTCCCCAACACGTTTCCAGCCCCATCCTCCCAAGCCCCATCCTGCTTGTCTCTTCTTCCACAGGCAGCTCCTCATCCCTGCCCCCAGCCCCATGTCCTGCACGTTTGACCCTTTCTCTTTGAAAGCAGTTCCTGAGTGGAAAACCTGGATTCGGGTCAAGGGCTGTGACCCCCAAAAAAAAGAGGACACAGCTCGGGATGCGTGAGGACGGGATGGGGCGCTCTGTGCCTGCCCCAGCAGTATTAACCCAACGGCCGTTCGCTGTTCTTAGGGTCATTTACACACGCTGCTGGGGCCGGGGTAGGACAGCTCGAGTTCAGCTGCTGGCGACGACACGACCCACTGTGGGTTTGCTCCCAGCCCTGCCCAGCTCTCACAGCGAAGTACCACGCACAAGTGCGCCCCCGGGGCTA